TTTTATAAAAATTCCTTACGTCAATTTTTTTTTTTTTTATTTTCCTAAATTACACGTGTCCCCATCACGTTCTTTCCTACACGTGTGTCCCCACGTTCTTGCCCATTCACGTGTCTTCTTTTTTTTTTTTTTTTATAAATAAAACACAAAATGATAACTCTACCTGGAAAAAAAACGAAAAAAAAAAAATAATAATCTTATTAAACTGTTACAATTTTATAACGTGTCATTAGATAAATTAATTAAAATTTTCTTACGTCACAATTCGTATTTTATCCAGTGAAAAAAAATTTTATTAAAAAAAAAAAAGTACTCACCCAAAAAAAAATTCCTTCCACGTGTGTTCCTGAATTCTCGGTATTATTATTATTATTATCATTTAAAGTTTTCGTTTTTAAATAAAAAAAAAAAAAGAAGAAGAAGAAAAGAAAGAAAGAAAATTCATTTGAAAGTTTTAAATTAATAGATTTGAATTTCCGGTGACAAGAACTTGAAACCTTTTGCGCAAACACAGCAATCAACACAAAAGTTTTTATTAAGTAACTTATCATTATTATTATTATTATTATTAACATTAAATCTTATTAAAGTTTTTGAAATTGACGAAACAATATAATTTTAAATTACCTTTAAGAAGGTTTTTTTTTTTTTTTATAATCGAGTTCGAGTTCGAGTTGTCAGATATCGAATGTCAAATACTACACAATTCATTATGGAAGATGGAAAACAAACAAAATAATAATAATAATAATAATAATAATAATAATAATAATAATAATAATAATTAAAGAAAGTTTTGATGATTTTGTTAAATTTTAGTTTTAGTTAGTGTCAGAAAGAAAGAGAAGGAGTGAAAGAGGGAAAGAAGAAGTGAGAGAGAGAAAGAGGAAGTGAGAGAGAAAGAGAAAGAGAAGGAGAGAGAAAGTGAGAGAGGGAGATAGGGAGAGAGAGAGAGAGAGAATAAAAAAAAAAAATCAATATACCAATTTGAGACCCATCCTTTGAATGTTCACTTCCGTTTATGTCATCCTATTTGCGAGTGTGACGTCAGAAAAGGTTACTTCCGGCGACGTTTTGTTAAAATCAAGGAGTAACTGTCGGACAGGTAACCTAATTAACTGGTTACCAAATCCAATAGTTACTTCCCAAACATCAACATTTTCATCTTCTATTCTAATCCATTCGCCATTTTCTTTTCCATTTCCTATAAGAAAATTTTTTTTTCCTTCGTTCGTTCGTTACCTTTTTTTTCCCATTCCGTATTTGAACCGGAAACGGATTCGCCGTGTTTCCCAACGTAAAAATAATAAACCTATTTCTATTCAATTCAATTAAAAAAAAAAAAAAAAAAACAAACTCACCGGAAATTTTTGAAATTTTGATATTTTCATAAATGACGTCATTTCCGTTTTTCCTTTTTTTTTTATCAACTCCACGCTCTTCCCTCTGCTTTGACGTAATGTTTCCTTCACGAAAACCTCATCTGAAGTTTATTTATTTATTAGTCACGTGATACATACATACATACATAAATTTTTTTTTTTTAATTAATTAATTTTAATTGATTAAATGAGAGTTTGCCATTGAGGTATTTTTGTATCGTTGTAATCATTAAAATTATTATTATTATTATATTTTCCATTTCGTCATCGAAACGTCCTTTGAATTCCTTTGAACGCTTTCCTTTTTCTCCACCACGATCGATTTTCCTTTTGTAAAAAAATCAATCAACATCTTATCCACTCCACAAAATCATCCTCCAACCATTTTACTCATTTAATTACGTCACATCCGTTTAATTATTATTATTATTATTACTTAATAAACTAACACTTACATAACGGTTAATAATAAACATATACTTTTCTTATAATATAAATAACATTAAATAATGATATGATTTTTAATATACATATAATAATTATTTTTAATATAGAAAAATTTTATAATATAATATTAATAATAATAATACTAATTGTAATTTTTCATCGTCATCATAATTATTCTCATCATCATCATCATCGTCTTTCTCATTTTTTCTTACGTAATAATAAATATACGAATATATAATATATAAAATAATAATATAAATAATATTATTAAAAATAATAATATAAGCTTTAAAAAATAAAAAAAATAATAATATATAAATTGATTATTAAGTATATAAATGTAATATATAATGTAATTGCGACGTATATTATTATAATTTAATCCCAGTTTTCTTTTCAATACTGTTACATAATATAATATAATATAATATAAATACATATTTAAAACGTGTAAACGAAATAAATTGAATTTAAAAATCATTTTATGAGGTAGAAAATATTTTTTAATTTATAATTTGTGAAATGCATTAAGGCCATTTTATTGTTATAATAATAATAATAATAATAATAATAATAATAATAATAATAATAATAGTAATGATAATAATAATATTAATAATAATAACATTAATAAAAATTTATTTTTTTTTTAAAAAAAAAGAACTTTCGAGAATAAAAATAATAATAATGATAAAAAACTTTCGGCTATTGTTTTGAAATATAGAACTTTTCCTTATATAAACAAACAAACAAACAAACAAACAAACATCGGACACATATTAATAAATAATATCTACAAACGGAAACAAATCTATAACTACATAAAACAAACTCCCAATAATCTTTTATATTATTATTATTATTATTAATATTAAACACGACGATAACTAATCTAAATATTATTATATATTAAATTACGTCATCATCAATATAATGATGATTATTTTATGATAATAATAATAATGATAATTTTACAATTACGAATAAACTCACAAACGAATCCATTAAAAAAATAATAATATATATATATGAACGACTCAACCGTATATTATTATTATTATTATTATTATTAAAACTTATACTAAAAATTATAATTAAATTATCGATCCTTTGAAAGCCTTAATTAATAATAATAATTATAATTAACACCGATTAATATAATATATTCTTATAAATAATAATTATATTTGTACCTTAATTTTTATATATATAAATTGTAATAATATATGTATTTGTTTATATATATAACGATATACTATATTATTATTATTATTAATATAAATATAAATTATTAATTGTTGAGATCAGACGTATATTATATAATAATAATAAAAATGTTAAGCTGATTTATTATAAAGATTAAATTCCACACGCAACTTAAATAATTATGATAATAATAATAAATAAGGATAAATTACATTTGTTTTTAACGGGGGGAGAATATAAATGTATAATAATAATAATAATAATAATAAATTTCGTGATATGATATCAGCTAAACATTAAAAAAAAAAAAAATACGTTAAACCTTTCGTGCAATAAAAAAAAAAAAAGGTTTTATAACGTATTTTATGGTATTTCTCTTAGTTGTAGTTTTCATTCAATTCTTTAACGAAAAAAAAAAAAAATTATTACCTAACCCCTCACCGTAATAAAACAAACAAACTAAAAAATTACCGACACCGTTATTAAGTAATTTTTTTAATAATAATAAATAATATAAATAATAATAATAATAGAAATTGAATGAAAACGTACAAAGCCTCCTCACCGCGACAAGGTGGAAATACCTCGAGGAGGAAATGATTTTTTTTTGTTTTTTTTTAATAATCGTATAAATTACATTGTATAAAAAAATAAATCAATAAATAAATAAATAAATAAAACATTTATGTAATAATTTGATAATAATAATAATAATAAACGAATGGTAAATTAATAACACGAATAATATTATTGGCAACGTGAACCAAATTCCTTTTTATTATTTTATTTACTTATTTATTTATTTTCATCGCAAGAAATAATAATAATAATGAACTAAATAAATAAATAAACTATTATTATTATTATTTTTCGATCGTGACATACATAAATAAATAAATAATAATAATAACGATCAAAATATACGACATATAATTTTCAGGTACGTAAATTCGGGTAATTTTTTTTTTTTTTTTTTTATTAATAACGAAAAATTATTATTATTATTACAACCTCCGTTTCGAAATTCATAATAATAATAATAATAATGAATTCAATTGTAATTTTTTTTTCACGCTCGAAAAAGCAATAATAATAATAATAATAGCAACGTTTAATACATAATTTAAAAATAAAAATTTTAATATAATTAATACATACAATTATTTATTTATTTATTTTCCAATACATATTATTTAAATAATTTGGTAGTAATAATAATAA